TTTCCGACCAGACGGAGTAATAGGCTTCGCTAATCGCTCAGCCAATGAATCGTTGACCTGAGAGTATTTTTTGTCGTCCCAACTTTATTTGCACATAATCATAATCCTCAAGAGAAACTTTTTCTGAAGCTTAGTTGAGGAAATACGGTCATAATTATTATTAAATACAGAAGTACAGAAATGCACCGAAATTATATTCAAGTCTTACAATACAAACAGCCCAGCCCGGATTTTTCCAGATTACAGTTGAATTTAAATTGAAGCCTAGTATAGACCAGCCCATTTCAGCTGGGTGGGCGCCTGGGACGTAGGCAATCTCAGAGGCGGGCGCCCCCGAGTTGCACTGGTGGCCTATCCTGACGCTGCAGGCGCCATGGCCGTAGCCCAACCCAGATTTTTTTTTTTTGACATCGTTTTCTCGTTGGCAGAGCGAGCGGCGGGAGCAGCACCTGTCTGTCGGCCGTCTCACCTGCCTCCAGGCCCCGGTGGGCGTCCCGGTCCTCGAGGGCGCCGCGTCTCTCCTGGAGTTTAACCGGCACCGCCTCAGGATGGTCTCCAAGCTCGGCGACGGCAACTTCGGAACGGTGAGTGAGGAGAACTGCGCCGGGCCCATTCGGCTCTCAAGCCTCCTTGACTATGCGGTGGTGGGGTGTGAGTGAACTGTCATTTATACTCCATTCTACTCGTGCTCCCGCAGATTCACGTCTGCGAGGCGGAGGGCGCCCCCGACTACAGCGGGCTGTCTTCCTTCCACAAGAAGCAGATCGTTATTTCCAAGTCGCTGGGACGCCGCTGCGGGGACACCACAAAGTAAGAGAAGCTTTTGCCCCCCTGCTCGGTGTACAATGAGGACGCCCGCCCCCACCCTCCCTCTCTCTCGCTCTCACTTTCTCTCGCATTCGCCCCGCGCCCCGCTCCCTCTCGCTCTCCCACTCATCTTTGGGGAGCACGGCAACGATCCCTCACCTCACATTTGCTCTCGGAGATGGGCTCGGCGGGGCCCCGCGAAAGCGAGCGCGGTGGTTTGTCAAAGTAAGAAATGAGAGGGATGGAAAGGGGGGAGATAGAGAGAGAGAGACAGAGAGTCGGAGATAGACGGACAACGGACAGGAGGGGAGGAGGGGGTGGCGGACGGGGGAGGGGGGAGGTTTAGGCAGACAGACGGCGCGGGAAAACGTCTTTTTCGTCGGTCCGACATCAAAATAAGCTGCTTTCATCCGTCACGACCGTCACGGTCCAAGGCGCGATATTGTGTTCGGCCGTGAGACCTGCGCGCTGCGCTAAGACCTCGGCATTATCAAGGCGCCGCCACGCTCGGCGGCTTTCAACGCCCAGCTTAGCGCCAGAGTGCCGGGCCGGGCCGGGCGGCGCCGGGCGGCGCTCGGTTAGATCCCACCGCGGCGGCGGCGCGGCGGCGGTGGTGGGACCTCCCCCGCCCACCCGGCTCAACCAACCATCAGTACTCGCTCCCCTTCTCTTTCTGTTGCTTACGATTCAAAAGGAGTCGGCCTTTCTTTCCCGCTTTTGTTTTCTTTTTGCCGTTTCTGGGCCTGCGTCTGTCGCCCTGCAATATCAAGCGTGAGGCTGACATATCCCGCTACAACAGTTGACGGTTGTTTCCTTATATTATTGCGCGGTGTAGTTCGGGATCATCCCGGGGAAAAAAAATCAACCACGGGGGGCTCGGCGCCTGCGAGACTGAGGGTAGGCCGACCCGCAGTACACGCGTGTACTGCTGGGCGAGATGTTGCCTACGTGGCAGGCGCTATGAGAGCGTAGCGTAGGCTGGACCTGGCAGGTTCGTTCGTCGTGGCGAATGGCGGAGGTACTTTCTGGACGATCCCCGACCACAGCGATGATTGTTTCTTTGCAGGCAAGAGTTTCTCCGCGAGGCCAGCTGGCTGGCCACCCTCAGGGACACCAACGTGTGCCGTGTCGTGGCGATCTGCAGCCAGGACGGCCCGCCCTGTCTCATGCAGGAGTACTCGGAGCACGGTGACCTGTACGCGTACCTTCAGCGGCCAGAGAACCTGTCACTCAGGTGCGTCAGTCAATCTTCCCCGATGGCACATCGGATTTTTCGTTTACAGGATTTCAGACTGATTCTCATTTGGATGATAATGTGTTGCAGTTATGGATGCCTGATTTACATGGCCACCCAAATAGCGTCCGGCATGAAATACCTGGAGGCTCTAGAAGTCACTCATAGGGATTTGGCGGCCAGGTTCGTTCGGCGACTGTACATTTGAATTCCAACTTCATTTGACAAGGCTGGCATTGCAAAGTTGGTTTTGTTTTGTTTTGTTCAGGAACTGCGTTGTGAGCCACCACTACAACGTCAAGGTTTCGGATCACGCAGTGTTCTGCTCGGCGTACGACCTGCACTACTACAACAGCGACACGGGTTCGAGACTGCCCATTCGCTGGATGGCCTGGGAGAGCCTGCTTCTTGTAAGTTTTGATTTGCTCAGTAATAGATATGATATGGAGATATTGAACGTCCCTGAGCTGCATGCACGCGCTCGCGAACGCATACCACGTCTCACGCCTGGTGCTTTTTCCCCCCGCAGGGCCAGCACAGCCCGCGCAGCGACGTGTGGTCGTTCGCGGTGACGCTGTGGGAGGTGCTGGGACGCTGCCGCGAGCTGCCGTTCTGCGAGCTCACCTCGGAGCAGGTGGTGGAGAACTCGAGCCACTGGTACCAGGACTCGGGGCTGCAGCGGGCGCTGTCCCGGCCGCCGCTCTGCCCGCGGGAGATCTACGACCTGATGCTCGAGTGCTGGCGGCGCGCCAAGGAGACGCGCCCGCGCTTCCACGAGATACACCTGTTCCTGCAGCGGAAGAACCTCGGCTACGAGCCCGCCTCGTGATACTCGGACGGGGAGATGTCGTCCTCGTAGGGGCACGGACCGTCTCCCCGCCCACAACGTGCGCGTGCTGTGCACCTCTGTGCAGCCCCGGTCAGAGAGGCCAAGGCTTGAAACCCTACATGCTGGTATCAGGACTGAATTTACGCATGTGGCTTTTTCAAGTATTTTCACGTCTGATCGGGCGTGATGCCATACACTTCTTACAACAAAGGGAAAAGTCAGACGCTATTCAAGTACGTGAATGTGATGAGCGAAAACGGAGAGTTCTTTGGAGTTCATCGCCTTCGCTGTGACTCCTTATAGGATAGTTCTCTGTCACTTGTCTGGTTTGTGAAGGTTTACTGAATTCTCATACTCTTTTTTGTTCGTATTCTTCTACATAACAAAAAGTGGTGAGGAATACCCTCAGCAAATCGTGTAATTTCCAATGTGCTGAAAAAGACTATGATTCCATAGATTTTTATTTGTCAACCATCCCAACAAACAGTAAAACTTCAGAGAGACGTCCTATTGACATGTCCATGACTAAATCAGGTAAAAGTTTGGTCAAAATTTAGACTGGTATGTACACATGCCATTTTGACATGACCTGTTTGACCTATTCTTGATGTTTTCCTGTTTGTTGGGCATGTGCAGATAAATTTAGATATAATGTAATGTTGCTTGTAAGATCAAATTTCTGTGATACTATTTAATTGCCTACCTTATTGCTACTGGAATTCGTGAGCATAATTTATTTATTGCTCTTGGATTCTAATGCTTCAAATTTTTAATATGGTAATAGATGACTTTGCAGACTCCTCCCAACCAATATTTTGTGTTCAAAAATTTCTCAAAATGATTGATCTCAGTAAGGGAAGAATCTTCCTATGGGTGGTATACTGAGGTCTTCTGCATTGACACTCCAGTAGGCTTCTGACTTAGTTGCGAATTTCAATTGTGACAAGTATTCCTCGTTTTCTTGATAAATAATCTTCAATACGGTATTAACAATCTTATTTGCAATTGAAACTAATTTATTTTTTTAAAGTGGGTTAAATGACTGAAGGGTTAGATGTTTTTCAAAGACATTTGTCATTTGGAATGTCTGATAAAGTACTCCTCTATTTTCATCATCATAAGTACTGTGTTCAGTTCTCAATAAAAATCAAGTAGATGTGTAATTACAAAGATTACTGCGAGGAAGTACTTTGTTTGCTAAATTGATATTTTTTCTTTTTCTTTCCCTTTTATCTTGTTCTCTTTTTTCTTTGCAATTTCTGTAAACTTTGTAATTTCAAATTGGTTTTGTGCATTACCAGTTGCGTTTACTGGATACCTGATGTTTCCCCAGAATACAGGTTGAAGTTAGTTTCATTCATTGATTGAATGAAATGTTACCACGGTATATACTACTGTAAACTTTTGATTTCTGCTTCCATATTCTTTCCACGTAATTTTATGAAAGTTGTTTAATAGTATGAAAATTATAAATTTTAATCTTAACATTCTGCAACTTCCACCTCAATCTCATCAATTTGATGAAAACAGCAATTGACCTATCTAAAATGTTGAGACAGATGTGCGTCATGTGCATTCTCCCTGTCAGCTCATCTGTTTGACTTTTCATGTTAGCAACTTTAACATAAAACTCTGGTTGGAATTTCCTACTATTAGCAGTAACATTCTGTGCTGTGTGTGGTTATTATATTTATAATACAATAACGAGTATGACTATTTGTAAACTTTAAAGCTGTTTCTTAACACTTTCAACTGTGATATCATTTTGTATCAAGACCTCAGCATACGATGATCATGGTCATGAACAGTATCTTTAACTGAAATTATAGTTTATGTACATTTACCTTTACAAAAGAATGTGCAAGACATATTTTAAAAATCTTCCATAAATTTCAGCACTGTGTACCTCTAATTTCTCTAAATATCTTTAGACTTATCATGTGAAAACCTGAGGATAATTATGACAATCCTTTATCACTATAAATGCCACCAATGAACACTGTTAAAATTTTTGTCACTTTCATGATATTCTTGTAGTGAAAGAGAACCAAGGCATTTTTGTCAAAGTGGCTAAGAATTTTTGCTGTGTATTTGCCATGTGAATGTTGTTATGTTTAAGTAAATTCGTCTTAACATATCTCTTTTTTTTACATAAATAATTAAATTGAACTTGAAATAAATCAGATAATTAATGAGTTGATGCTTTTTCTCTCTGGACTCTGCTGTGCTGTCGGACTGGACGAACATTGCCCCGCCGGGAACACCCGACCTCTTCCTGTAATTCCTTCAATTTCTGTCTTGAACAGATGAGTCAGCCCTGGGGCTAATCCGCTAGGCTGCTGAACAACCTGTTGATCGCCTCGCGGCAAGACAGCTCTTTAGCGATATCTCCTGTTAAAATTGCTCTATAAGGTCCTAAAGTGGCTCCAATAAAATTCTAACTGTGGGTACTACGGGTACCTCATTGAGTTCCCGTTGGACTTCAGACAGAATTTTGAAGTTAAGGTCAACAGTAACATTTACATAAAACAAGGAAGAAGGAAACACAAAATTAATTTTGCGCTAAAGTGGCACTAGTTCTTTACATAGTTCCTGTTACGCGTAGTGCCGTTTAGTAAGTACGAGTGGTTTTCTCGACTTATATTTGTTAAGGTGATAGACGTTTTTTGTTTAAAGGGATAATAGTACTGGAGGTGGGGGTGGGGGGCACATAACGATACCTCAGAGCGAGAACCGCTCAGTCTCTGCAGGAAAGCCTATTATACTGAGCGGTTCTCGCTCTGAGGTATCGATAAATGGCCACAAACCCGATGGCCAGAGTCAGCTTAATCCGACCCGTCTATAGAAGATTCTTTTTAGGGCAATATCTGATATCCGACGCCCCCAGCCACACGCCTCTTTGGAATCATCCAGAAAGTAGGTCCGTCGTTCGTGGCTACGAAACGGCCAGGCTTTAGCCCATGCTAGCTCTCATAGCGCCTGGTAGGTAGGCAACATCTTGCCTACAGTGCACGCTTGTACTGCGGGGTGGCCTACCCTGAGTCTCGCAGGCGCCGAGCTCCCAAAACTTGCCGAACAAATCAGAGAAAAACGAACGTACTTTCTGGACGATCCCTTTTGTAGCTAAACACTTGAAGCTACAATCGACAGGACCGCATACAGCTTCATCCGAACCTCTTGTCTCCCGTTAGGCAGGACCGGGCTCAGACCTCAGCCGCAGCCCCAGAGGGGCAAGCTGGTGGCCGAACGTATAGTGTATTTCGACTAACGGAGGAAGAAGAACAGCGGGTAGAGCATAAACGTTACCGATTAGTCAAGAGCTTCCCGCCTCTACGTCACGCCTGCAGTGGGTAGGCGCTCGGCCAATCAGGAACCTTTATGTTCTACCCGCTATTCTTCTTACTCCGTTAGTCGAAATACACTATGTGTGACGGGCCGGTACGCAAATAGTCCCTGGTTCGAATCTAGTCGACGGAACCCCTCTGCCGGCCATGTGTTTCGGGGTGTGAGCCATATCGGAGATAAGCTTCAGCCATGCAACAGCCTCATTGGCTCAGTTGGTAGGCGCGCGCCCGGGACGCGGATGGTTCGTGGGTTCGAATACTGACCGAGGTTCATTTTTTCCTATTTAGAAGTTTGCGGCGCGGGGACCAAGGGTTAAGACAAAAGACCAGCCGACATGGGGAGGTGGACTTGACCGCCTTCTCAGCAGCCCCCCCCCCTCCCCCTGCCAAAAAAACAACAAGAAAATGAACGCCCCGACGAGGACTCGACCCCTGGGCTAAGGGGGTCTTCTGCACCAAGACCTAGCGACGTCGCCGCTCAGCTGTCGGCTCCACTTGTCGACGAAAAGTTCAAACCTCGGTCACCTGCTTGACGAGTCTTGGTCTCCCGGATTGCACGCGTTCAGGTCGGCTCAAGTCCACCTCCTCGACGCGCTGCAACCCAGGTCGGCTTTTGGCCCGAAACACGAGAAATGGCCACTTAAAGAGCCCCTTGGGCGCGCGGGGGTTAGGTTAGGTCCATGTATGTAACTTGTTCCGTGTTTTTGGCCAGAATTCGACCCGGGCTGCAGCGCGTCGA